AAATCCGGAATGGCTTTCCAGTTGACTCTGATTCTACTGATGACTTAAATTTAGATTGGAGGATTTGAAGCTCCAAATTCAATTCTTTTTGCACTTTGGCTGTGACTTCACACTTAAATGCTTGTTGAAAGCTTTCCTTGTCGTTCTTCAAGTCGTCATCCAGTTTATGTTTGTAGCTTCTGTGGTCAAGTTCTAATTGGTTTCTCAACACAGCATCTTTTTCCACAAGAGCTGCTATTACAGCAGAATCAATACGACATTGTACCTCCGACTCCTTCACAGCCAGATTCAATTTGCGACTTCAGATTCCTTGATTGCAACAACTGATTTAATCCGATCCTCAACTTCAGATTCCTTCGAAGCCACAGCTGATTTAATTCAATTCACGACATCAGATTCCTTCATTGCAATGACTGATTCGATTCGAAGCTGCAAATCCAACTCATTCAAAGCCAAGGCCGACTTAATTCGATCCTTCACGTCAGATTCCTTCAAAGTGATGACTGATTCAATCTGACGCTGCAACTAAAGCGACGGCGGCGTCAATTTGACGTCGTACATCCAACTCCTTCAAAGCGATGACAGAATCGAATCGCATTTCTTGGTTTACTTCAACAGAAATTGGTGCTGTATGTCTGTTTTCGCGAGGGGTTCACGATAAAGAGCGCAGGGGTAAGCCAAAGGAATATGGACAGTTGGTTGGATGGAAGGGATAGCGGGGTTTGTATAGGAATTAGATGTAAGATTATGATATGCATTTGATTGATATACGTTTGGTTGATAGATAGGTTGGTTGGTATAGTTTAGTGGTGGATGCTGAAGTTCCGACTTGATCTGATTATGATGTTGAGGAGGTACGTGAGAGTGGATGGGAGACCCGCTTGGCAAACGCCGTGTCTGAGAAACATTCATTAGGAACTGTATATGATCCATCATCCAAGCAAGAACGGTTTGTACCCCAATCACGTTGAAACGATAGAGAGTCTCAGGGAGGCCTCCCTCCATTTGAAAGGGCACACGAAGTCTAAGCAATATGCTGTCCTCGAAAAAATCAAAACGAAGTTGCGCTCAGAGTTGTTTGCCGTTTTGAAAACATCCAACCAGCAGTAAGGACCGATGAACTCAATGTTGACTTGAAGCTGTTGCCAACCAATGCGACGGCAGTCACACGGCGCACCGATAAGTGCTCTAAGAACAAAGTTAATGCCACGTTTGCTGTTGCATACGGCACTCAGGTAGGTACTTTGTTTGACTGGACATTCTTTTGCAATCAAACTTCAAAGTTCAAACGTGTGTTTTCAACTGTTTTCCGAACAATCCACGAAAACAAAATGAACACTCAACTCAAATCCGACTTCAGCCACTTGCGCGAACGAGGACATGTTCTCGACGCACCGGAACTTCCAAAGCACCTCAAGTCAGTTGATCAGCAATTGGCCATCTTCACCGCCGCTAAAATAGCAACACAAACAACGCCGAGTACATCGAAAACGCGCGCTCTCTTGTCACAAAAGAAATGATCGTCAATTCTTCTTTGTGGGTGCGCGCTTTTGATGAGGCCTCGCGGTTGCTTGCCTCCTTGGAAGAGGATAAAGCAACCGCAGCAGAAGCATTCTTGAACGAACAAAATGTTCAAAAGAAACAAAGAACACAGATATACCAATTACGTCAAGCTATTGGATCGTTTTTGGACCTTGACACTTCTGATTCTGAACCTGTCTCAACGTTAATGGGTCGCCTTGTGAAAAAGGTAATGCAGTCACACTGTCTCCAAAGTACTGACCTCCAAAATACTAGGAGAAAAAATTGCGTGCATCATTGGATGCCAAGAAAATGGCTCTTACTATTCAGGGTGAAGATGTTCATATTATGATCTCGTTTAAGGAGAGGAGTTTGTCCCAATTTTGAATTAAATCGAATTAAATCTGACCAACTGAGCTAAGAAGGCACTGAATGTATGTGTCGAAAATAGGTTTAGATTAGGTCAAAACTCATACGAATGATCCAAAATTCACTGAAACGCACTTTATTCTTCTTGAATGCAGCTAAATACTCTATTATTTACTGATACACGCGTACCATGCAATCGGATCCAGCTGTTACCAAAAAGTTGTTTGATCTGTCGAAAGCAACTGCCTAGATAGCATCATCTCCTGACCCAAGATCCTTCCCACGCTGTTTGTCTCTGATATTATATCTAACACCCAAGATCAAAGTCAAAATCGCGTAAAGCAGCTGGAACAGAACTGGCACCATACGTCTTTGTTGAACCATTATTAATCACTATCGCCAAAACATTGCCAGTAAGATCAAATGCAAGCTTGTTTGCTGCATAAGGTCCTACGTCGATGCATGGCAGGCGATCTGACCAACTGAGCTAAGAAGGCAGTTGGTAATTTTATGGATAATTTAATTTTGGAAGTATCGTGAACGTCTAAACTTTTGAGAGGTTTCTAGTAAATATGAAGCGGCAATTTGTACGCACCTATCAAAGAGCTGATCTTCAGACAGTATATGATTACGCGTAAAAACAGAAAATGAGAGAGATGAAGATGGTGGAAAGATGAAGCACAATCACTGGGACGTAGCGCAATACAACTAATCGTTTGATAAAGAATATATTGGTGAAGATCCAAGAAGAAACGGAGCGCTTGCGGAAAGGGGCCCGGATTCAGCAATAATACTCCATTTCACAACAGGAAGCTTCACTTCCTTGACAATGATAGAATAGTGCAGGTATGCGAGTCTTAGCAATAGCAAAAGTGAGGTTGAACACATGAATGCGACAATAAACACTTCAAACGGCAAGATTCGTTTCAAACTCTCTTGCCTGACACAAGAATAAATTCCAAACAAGACGTTGCTGGTGTTCAGAAAAACATCAGAGATATAGATCCAGATCGGCAAATATAACAATTAGAAACAATGTGGAATTAAACGTAAGTCCCAATAATGAAATAGCAAACTACGCCATGCAATATGGCTCATTGAGGGTCATGTCATGTATCCTCAAAGACTTACATTACGATGTCTTCGTTATTGGAAGCAACCCCAAGGGATTACTTCAATTCTCTTAAAGTACCATTATACTCATTAATTGAAGACCAAACTCTATAAATCTTATCCTATACCCTTTTGCCACTTATATCAATTTCCGTAGATTTACTGTCATCAGCACTTAAACTTATGTTAATTTTATGAGTAGAAACACATTCTGGAAACTGTTTTGCCGCAAGAAGTGAAGGCGCATCAACCTTTATTCAGCATCATCAAAAACAAGCAATAAACAGAAATGAGCGAAAGAAGGGAGCTGCCGTATAAACATAAATACATAGCGTGATCGACATTCATTCAGCACCATCCCTGATCCTGACCGAAATTTGGTTAACTCCACCAAGACGATTCAAGCCCCCAATTCCACCATATTGAACACCGAATGGAGTGGCAATCGCGTCGATTCCAGTCTGTTGGCCGACAGCCGCAAACGACTCCAAGACATTCGCAACACGGTCAGCAGACGCAAATCTTTGGTTGGCGTATGGAGAAGTAACACGTTGAACAGCCTTGGAAGTCAGATCGTCAATCAAAAAGTTCTGTAAGCGAGGTTAATATACCCAAAACCTCGCGTACAACGCTTAAGAAACACAAACCTCGCGTTCAACGGCGGCTCTCTGGTTTGGGTGTGGCAAGTGTGGGTTTCCGGTCACCAAGTCGTGAATGATATGGTCGGCGTTACGGTTGGTGACCTTGTCGTCCAAGATCTTGGTGACGAGACCTTGAGTGACTTGGTCCATGATAAAGTCCTGGGTAAGGAGTTTGGCAACTGTGGACTTGGGGATGTTTTGGCCGGAGAGGAGGGCTTGGACGACTCCCATTCTGTTGGTGGTAGTGCTGGATTTCTTGATGAGTTGCTTGATGAGGTCGGCCTGTGGATGGTGAAAGGGTTGGTTGGTAGGGGTTGGAAAGGGGTTAGATGAGGAATACTGGATGGGAAAAGGAACTGACCTGGAGCTCATCACGTTGACGGTCCTGAACCAATTCGTCGACAATGTTGGCCTTGGCAGCGTGCATCATGTTTCGGGCGTTGATTCCGGAGTGGTGGTGACTGTAGCTTGAGAACTGGTTGTTGTTGTAACAGTCGTTCTCAAGCGCATTCATCCATGGCTTGCTGAAAGCTCCACGGCCGATATTCTGAGATAAATATTTTTTTAGAACTTTAGATATTACTTGTAGTTTGAGACTGACCTGGCGACCGTAGTAGCGTTGATTGAGACCTTGAGTGGAATCCAAACCAGAGAAGCCAAGAGGACAATCAAGACCTTGGAAACCAAGAGAAAGGTCAGAGGAAGAGTACCATGGTCGGTCTGGAACTGGACAGGATAACGACGGAAAGGGGCTTGGCCACCAATGAAGGACTGGTTGTAGCATTCAGATTGAGGAAAGTATTGCATTTTGATTTGGTTGTTGAGAGCTGATATTTTGATGAGTAAATATGAGGGAGAAAGCTGGTGGTTCTTATAGCCTTCAATTGAAAGGGGTCGGATCCCTTTTTGTGGGAAAGGGGATGTTATGCTGATTTAAACGTGAGACCGCTTCCAAAAGAGACAAAGAATTTGTTTTTGTCTTAACGGCGGCTATTTTACACTTCGGATGTTTCATTTGGAAATTGACGCCTGATGAATACGCAAAATTCGTGAAATAATTGCCTGAACATGACGCAAGAGTCGACGCAACAAGAACATAAAGCGTGACTCTCTTTTAAAATGCAGCTAATTGTATTTTGCATAACCCCCATATTCTGTTGATGTTATTGCTGCCACAAACTACCACAACTACCACGACCTGCTTTCCAGAGCAAAATCATAGCCGCCTAGATATCTTCAACCTATCCGAATTCTTACTGATTCCTTAAGAATCTTGATACGCTTTTGTTCATGGAAAATAGACACAATCATTAAAACTTTAAAAATCTAGATAAATATTCCAACCAGCGCATCATCGGGCAGATGGCCGAGCGGTCTAAGGCGCTAGCTTCAGGTGCTAGTGTGGAAACACGCGTGGGTTCAAATCCCACTCTGCTCACAGGTTTTACTGGCGTTGGCGGCGGGAAGAGTGTGAAAGGAGTGTGATTTCTGAAAAAAAAGATTCAGGATGCAAGCTTGCGCTGTCGTCGGTGAACATGTTTCCCGACACATCTCCCATTCTCGTAAGCCGTTTATCCATGAGTTTTAAGAGAGAGAACGCGTCGAGCTCACGTCATTTGTGCGTTTAAGGTCCATAAGTAAGTTTCGCATCAAAACCAGGTTTGCCGTTGAGCCAAGCTGTACAAATGAATATACATGGCCATACGCAGAGGTTTAATGCACCTATACTATAATTTTTATCAGCAGTTGCTCTGTTTGGGCATATCGCGTTAAATCAATTACGTAACAAATGTTTACCAATGATAAAGATAAACACGTCCCAGATCGTCTAGTGGTTAAGATCCGGCCCTTTCACGGCCGTGACCGGGGTTCAATTCCCCGTCGGGAGCATCTTTTGACGGCGGCGGTGAGTTCGAGTGTGGGAGCAAGGTTGGGAAAGATTCGCTCAAGACAGCTCCAGCTCACAATACTATTCATTGCGCCGGAATGGGTGAAAAGTTAATCAAGAATTGTACGACAACTTGACTGCTGCATCTTTGAATTGCTTGGGTGTAAGGAAGGTCTGCAACGCAAGTTGTGTGTGGGTCAGAATGGAGCTTAAATCAACAATTCATGGTACCCTTCGCCATAACCTTGCTTGCATAACTTTAAAAACACAATAAGACTTTGATGTTGATCCGTCGTTTGCCTCTCGCGTGTTACTTTATTATCACAAAAAAGCAAACAAATTAAAACCACAGAAATGGTATCCACACCACACTCACCCATTTCCTCTCACAACCAAAGGACTAACCTGCCTCTCACAGTCGAATACACTCCGCCCATACCTCACAGCAGTGCGCGCCACGTTGACTGCAGCCATGTGTCTGGAGAACTTTTCGTCACAGGTTGTTGAGAGGCACAACAAGCCTGAGATTGAGGCTCAGTTGAGTATATGCATATATTTAAGGTGTTTTTGTGATGGGCAGTGGGTGTGGAGGCAGAGGGAGAGGGTTGGAGGGAGAGTGAGAGAGTGGGGAGTTTTAATGGACACCGGCGGACAGTGTTTGCTCTGGATCTGGATGTGATCGATGCGCGTCGCTCTCTGGATTGGATGATGGGATTCTGTGGATGTCAGGACAGCAACTTGCTTGAAGGAGTGATGATCTGTCGGTACACACATCAATTCTCTTGGCCTCAATGTCTGAACTATCGAGTCGTCTCTGTTCTAAACAAAATCAAACTAAACAATTCGAATGACACAACAGAACAACAAAGGAGTCGCTCTTGACGCCCGTGGTCATTTCGCGTAACGAGAACGAGAAAGTGCTGATTGAACCGAGCATCAACTCGTTGCGCATCAGCATCAAAATCAAGCAGGCTGATGACTTGGAGCGAGTGTTGGCACACATGTTTACTCGATTCTTGATGATGAGAGCAGAGAACTTTGTCATTCTCAGACGCAAGGCAATTCAGGTGCGTCCTCTGTATTTAGAGACTGTGCGTTCAAATGAATAATTCCTTCTTATATCTATCAAAAACAGGGATACGACATTTCGTTCTTGATCACCAACTTCCACACAGAGGCCATGTTCAAGCACAAGCTCGTTGACTTTATTATCCAGTTTATGGAAGAAGTTGACAAGGAGATTAGTGAAATGAAGTTGAGCATCAATGCGCGTGCACGTATTGTAGCCGAGAGTGTGAGTGTTTCAGAGAGTATGTCATTGTTGTATGAACGCTAAATCGGTTTAAACAGTACCTATCCCAGTTTTCTTAAAGAGTGAGAGAAAGAGATGGGGTGAAGGAGGGAAGAGAGGGAGAGAAACAATCATTTAATTTGAGTTCTCTTTTAATTCAGAAGATACACCAAACCAACCAATGAGTGGTTTGACACAGCGTCGCAAAGGCGGAGCAGCGGCAACAAACAACTTCAACGACGACGACGACGACGTGGCCAATCTGCGTCGATCCGCAAACGCATCGGCCGCCTTCGAAGCCAGTGCCGGTGCAAAGACAGACGACAACTCCGCAAACAACGACTTCGACTACGACAACGACAACGACGACAAATCATCGGCAAAGCGCGCGAATCGGTTGACGCTGATGGAAGAAATCCTGCTCATGGGTCTCAAGGATGCCCAGGTGTGTTTGGTTGTTTGTTGGTTGTTGGTTGGTTGTGCCTCCTTTTAAAACATCATGCGCAGGGTCACCTCTCCTTCTGGAACGATAACATCTCTTATGTATGTACTTGCTCAGTTGGCGTGCGGAGATGATGATGCAGTGCAGAGATGTTGCTTTTTTGTAGTGGTTGGTTGGGTTGGAGCGAGGAGTCATTGGCGGTCGAAAGGAGGAGGCGCTCAAACGGCGGTTTGGCGTTTCACTGGTTGCCTCGTAGCACCACCGCAAAGATCAGTTTCTGCTGCAGAGATAGTTGGTCGCTATCAGCGGCCCATATGAATCAATGTGGAGGCAAATGGGATGGAGTCATCAAAAGAACATACCATCGCTCAAATACGAAATCAGCATAGTGTTTGATTGGAAGAGGCCAGAAAGAATGCAGTCTTTCATTAGTTGGAGCTTTAGCGACGAAGATACTCGAATTCTCGACAGGACGAACCAATCAACCTATCTGCTGCATTGAGATTAGATGACTGGTTCAGATTTAAGCTTCTATGATTGATTGGGACAATTTGGAAGAAGTGACTGGAAAGGACTTGAATCGATGATGAAGCCATATCTCGCTTGTCAAACATCTACAGCACCATTAGTTGCGCCTGATAAATCAGGAAATAGAGCCTTTATCGTTTCACTGAAGTGGGATACTGCAGCTCTGCGGGATATATGATAGACCTTTTTCAATCTCCATTATATCCGTGTGGAAGCGAGATCGCACAGATGCGACCCGTAGTCCATTGAAAAAGCGAGGCTTTGGACTGCAAGCGAAGCGAAATCATATATTTTGTCAGAGGACATAGCGTTAGAATCCTTGGTAGCCATCTTGCGATTGAATCATCAAAATATCTGAGCAGAGCGACAAATGTCACGAAATTCCAAGATATGCCTAACTCACGGTTATTTAGGTTCTTCGAGGATGCATTTTGATGGAGCTCTCCTTCAGAAAGCGTATTGCCACAGTCCAAGAAGTACGCAAACGGCCCTTCTCCGAGCGTCTCCTTCACGTACGTTGAACAACATATACAATCTTCCACCCTCCCTAAACGGCAACCTCCAACAGGTTATCGACGACCGTCCAACAGGCGAAGTCCTCCTGGACGAAGCTCTCCGCATGATCAAAACGGACTCGACCCAATCAATCGCCTCCTGGATCGACCTCATGTCCGGCGAGACATGGAACCTCATGTCCTTCAACTACCAACTCAAACAAGTCCGGGAACGTATCGCCAAGGGACTCGTGGATAAAGGTGTTTTGAGGACTGAGAAGAGGAATTTCATTTTGTTTGATATGGCTACGCATCCAGGTACAAAAAGAATCATACTCTTTCCCTGTTAATTAACTCTTGGTCTTTACAGTCGCCGATTACTCTGTCAAGGAGCAACTTGTCGCCAAAACCGTCGACACACTGCTTTCCCGCGGCGCACCTCCAACAAAACAGACTGTCGCCATGTGTTGCGCGGCGTATGCTGCCAATGTTCTTGAAAACGCGTTGGTTGGGTTGAACCATATTCAGAGGGAACAGGCGTTCACCAAAGTGGATGAGATGTTGCAAAACTGGGCTAGTATGGGTGATAAAGCGAAGGCTGGAGGTGTGGATGATGTCATGGCTGGAGTGTTGAGTGTGTATACAAAGGTGAGTTGTGATTTGGTGTTGTTCGAATTACATACTTAAATACGATTGCAGATGGACGCTTTGTTATAAACATCTCACCGTGGTGTATAGGGGATTAATAAGTGAATGTGGAGATTGTGTTGTTGAGTATTGGGTCAAAGTCTTTCGTGTTTCTTGAGATTGTCTGTTTTACGTTCTACGTACCCCTTCTTTACTGTTTACTGGAAATAAACAAGACGGTTTTAGTGTTCAAATAGGCTGTGGAATCATATTTATTTCATAACTCCAACATATCAAAACGAGACACTCAACAAAAAGATACAAACAAAAGGGAATGATTCTACACAGTGTTGGCCATAATTCTGAAAAAGAATTGCACCTTTTACGAAGGTGTTAGTATTCGCGTTCAACTTTCCGAAACAAAGGACTTTTCGTACCTCCAAAATACCATCCTCCTCCAAATCAGTACAGTGAATTGCGTTCTTGACTTTATCAGCTCCATACAACGCTCTCAACGACTTTGGTCTCAGTTTTCGACCCAATTCAGGATCATTGGGTCCAACAAATTCACGAAACTCAGATACAATGCCTTCTTCAGGACCAGTAATTTCGAGAGCAATGAGAGGACCGGAGGAAAGTTGGTCTACCATTTTCTGTTGACAGTGGTCCGTTAATTGATGAGTTTCACGGGAAAAAGGGTATGGTACCTGATACTCGGGGACAACTGTCTTGTACACTTCAAGAAACTCTTCCGCATTCACGCGGTCCAAGTAGTAAGACTCAGCATCCGTGATTTTGTATCCGTTTTGCGCGATGGACGTGAGAATTTTGCCCGTCAACCCTAATCACATTTAAAAACGCTTGTTTCAACTCCAGAACTTCAACAGTTATAAAAAACATCTAAAAACTGCACCTGAATGAACTGCATGCGGCTTAATCACAGCCAACGTGCTATTCTTGAACACAGCCGTTCTCAACTCCCTTTTGACTGAGTTGTCAAACAATTTCGCGATTTCTGTTTTGGCGGATTTGACGTCTGCGGAGATGTGGATGCCGTTCTTGTATCCTGCGTGTCCAAACTGTGCGCGGAGACTGGATGGTTGGGACGCTCTGGCGTCGGCTACGATGGATGGGCCGGTGATGCGTTCTAGTTCAGAGACAGCAGAAG